AGGTATTTACCTAGGAGTAGAATTGCTGGGTCATTATGTCAGTAATATTTAAATATCTGAGAACTGAAGTAGCTTTTGAAAGAGCATTATTTGAAATTATAATTAATTTCCTTAAATGTGGATATAGTATAAGAAAGTAAATTAATACATAGTCTACTAAACAACAGTACAAATTCTGTCACAGACATTTTAAAAAGTACCAGGCAATTTGAATTTCCAGAGATCTGCTATTCAGTTATTTACTACATAATCTATCAAGATTCCCTAGAAGAAATGCTGTTGAAGGATTCTTTTCTCAAGGCTAGTTCCTTCAGACTGGAAAGCAATAACTATCCAGAGAGAAGCTGAAAACGAATATGCCAGTGCAGAGCATGAGCGAAGATTATGTTCTCTGACTCATAAGGTAGAAAAGCAATGAGCAACATGGTGTTGTACAATGAGAAGCTGTCATTTTTATTTTGATGCCACAGATGGTAGAAGAATGATAACTATTCCGCTTTTCACTACAAGATTTGCCTCATACTATACAGATTGTTTCTCCTCTGGCTCATCTTCCAGAATATGTACTTGCCTATAAACTGATGAATATAGAATTGTGAATGCTTAGAAAAGGGGCCTCAGCTGTCAAGAGATAAAGTCATTCCAAGGTGGAATACAGAGGCCAATGCAGAACCTAGGCTGATACACGTAAGAACGTGCAAAAACAAAGTTGGAAGGGACAGCTGTACGACCAATGAGCAGTTTCTGACCAGGTTTATGGCATGCAGATGACCAACACTGTTCAAACTGAGGCAAAGGGACATGTGGTGCCAAATTCCAAAAAGATATTTCCCCTCAATGGTACCCACATGTAGTGAGCTAATCCATGACTCCATGTATTGGTACATGCTCTTTTCTCTATTTATAAAACCTTTCTCTCTTTCTATCTGACAAACTCCTATTCCCTGGCCCTCAAATCACTTTCAAATATCACCTCTCCTGTAAATGTTTCCCTCACCACTCTCCATCCTGAATGTTCCAGTGAACTCTGAATACCGTGTTTCTAGACCTTGTTTTCTGGTATTTCAACTATCAACTCTCCTCTAGCTGTTTTTTCAGTCTTAATGTATTTTTGTGTCATTCCTTATAATCCAGAACAGTGCCTGGCCCATTTTTTGACTAAGTGCTCGCAACACTGTAGTTGAATGAAATGAGGAAATTTATGTCTAAATTATCCTAAACATCAATGGATGCCAGAAACATTAACAGAATAAACTCAGACTAAATGCAAATTAAGGCCCAATTAAGACTAGACAGTACAGAAACCACCATCCCCTACACAGAAGACCTGGGTCATCACCCATCTGGTGACGAGAATATGTCATGAAATGTGACCTCAAACACAGACCACAGGCCCCCTTGCCACGTTCAGTTCTGTGGCCAAGCCACTTGATAAATAAAAGATGTCTCAGATCTCTGATTTTTTTTCACATCTTTTCAAAGACATTCTGCATTAAAATATATTTGAACATCCCTGTTTCTATGAAAGCTCTTGGTGAATGAGCTGATTTGCCTTGGGGGAAAAACATCATTTGTTGGATAATATCATCCTTATGAATTTCCCCAAGGAAGTTTCGCAGGTTATAATAACCAGAACCTATATTACTAATCCAGCAGGCGGCATACATGATTTAAGCAGACAAAAAAGTCTAACTTGGTTGAGAAAAGAAAACTTAGTTTGGGTTCAGAAGGTGACAAAAACTATAGACTTCATGACAATTGGTGGAAAAAGAAAACTAAGTCAGAACATCACACAACTCAATTCAGTATTGCCCGTGGCAAGCTTCCTCCATTAAAATTACAAGCAGCATAAACTAGAATTTATTTCATTGTAAAATACAAAATGCCAGAAATGGTATATGAAAAGACTTTTCACAAGTCTTTTCCAGGTGCTATACAAGCTTCTGGGAAGAGTTTTTGACTTTAGGGTTTTACCCACATTCAGGAAAGTCATTCTTTTCACTGTTGTTTTAGAAATGCCATATAGCTCTTCTCATTTTCTACCAATTTTAGGCTCTCCTTCCTAAATGATTCCCCCCCCTTTTTCCTAAGGAGCTCTTCTACTTTTATGAAGTTCTTCTTAATTCTTGTTACTTTTTTCACAAGTCTAAAACAAAATAATTTAAATTATTTTGTATTAATAACAAATAGAACAGTAAAGACAGGAATAGTAATATATAATAATAAAAGAGTCCAACCAGTATCACAGATTCATCTTGTGTTTATGGCCAATTACAGTGATATGAATGGATCATTTAGATGACTACAATCTGGATCAACTGTGTTACGAGCTAGTTATTAGGATAGAAGTGATCCATCTTTTCTATTGACATAGAACTGGCTACACGTATATATGATTATTGATAGCCAATTTAAACCTTGTTATTTAGAAGGCCTAGTCCTGCCCTTATTATACTTTTTAGACTACAGTTCTTAATCAATTCCTAAAACACTGAGAAGTAGCTACATGGACTTCAACATCACATTTGAATAGATTGCTGCTGCTGCAATAGGTCATATAGCACTGCAAGCTGTAAAGAAAGCATCTGTGTGCTGATTACATTAAATATCAAGTCTTCTTTCTGGCAGCCAGGTTGAATGAGCCATTTCTTTCTTTTCTTTTTTTTTTTTTTTTTTTTGAGATGGAGTTTCACTCTTGTTACCCAGGCTGGAGTGCAGTGGTGCGATCTCGGATCACCGCAACCTCTGCCTCCTGGGTTCAGGCAATTCTCCTGCCTCGACCTCCTGAGTAGCTGGGATTACAGGCACGCGCCACCATGCCCAGCTAATGTTTTGTATTTTTAGTAGAGACGGGGTTTCACCATGTTCACCAGGATGGTCTCCATCTCTTGACCCCGTGATCCACCTGCCTCGGCCTCCCAAAGTGCTGGGATTACAGGCTTGAGCCACCGCGCCCGGCAATGAGCCATTTCTTAACAGGTAAATCAGGTTAGAATGAACAAGGGCAGCACTGAAAACAGGATATCAGACACCAAGTGCCTGTGTTTCTATTTCCCTCCTTAATCCTAACCTATGCATTGCAAAAGCTGCTCATCAGTCCCGGTATTTTCTAGTTTTCCTCTTCCTCTTTCCTATACAAAGTATCTTATTCCTTCTGAACAATGCTTCAGGCAGCTACTATCAATTAACTAGAGTTTGCTTTATTATCACGGATATACAGGGAAGTAACATAAATATTATGCAAAAGTCGTTTTAAAGCAACACTTGCTTCCTTCAATCCAGCTATCTGCTATTGAGGTAGACAATAAGGTCCTTTCTACTTTCAAACTGTGCAGGTCTGAATTATGCTAGATAAAAGTTCTTTCTAGCTTTGCACCCATCTCCTAGAAGAGTCAATTAATTGTAGCTACTGATGATGATAATGATGATGATGATGTTTGGAGATGACCAATCCTATGGACACATATTAGAGCAGAAGAGTGGCCCTGTTCCTAAGAGGAACATATCCATGACTCATAGGATCCAAGGAGTCAACGCATCCTAAGAGGAAAGCCTAGAAATAGAAAAGCATTTTTAGCTCAGTACAGTGCCATGCAAAATTAGTTCTAGAAATGGGTCAAAAGGAAACAAAGTACATCTGCAAATATTGTATTTTACCATTCCAGGATACTGGAGCTTTTCATTTGAATCTGCTTTGTCAGGCAACAGATCCCTGTTCTGTTCTATAGAACCCTTTCTTTTTTATCCAATATTGGTTTTCAGCAATAAACTCATTTCCAAAATCACTCTGTAAGAGAAATGGATTTCACACAGATGAATTACGGCTTATGAATATTTTTAGGTATTGAACCTAAGATGGACACAATCCCATTTCATGTGAGCTTTCTTACTTTATTAGGGGAAGGTCAAAATATCCAGGGTGGTCCTTCAGTCAGCAAATATTTATAGATATTTACCATGTGCCCAGCACGGTAGGTGCTAGGGATGGCAGTAAGCAAGCAGATCCAATTCCTGCTCTCATAGAGCTGAGCATTACTAATGAAAGTTGTCAGAGCTCTCCCCACTTAATGTTATGGAGTACCTCATATTGATAATGTTTCAAATTTTTAGAAAGAAAGAAAATAAAGTATATCCACCCCATTTTGTAGACGAGACATCTGAGATTGAGAATATAGTATTAAATGATTTTTCCTTAGCCATAGAAAGAGTGGCAAGTCCAAATAAAACTCTCAAAACTCTCTCACTTGAGCCACTTTTTCTTTTCTAGGTCTTCTGACTAGTCTCTATTTCCAGCTTTGTTCTGGTCTACAAAAATATTAAACTCTATACGTATTGACTTCATTCTATATTCTGGACTACTATTTCAATAGACCTAAGAGAGATCTCAGTATTGTCCAAGATTTTGGCTTAAGTAAGAACTATTGTTTCCAAGGAAATAAAACCAACTCTGTAAGAAATAATTTTTCTCAGACAAAAGTACTGGTACTTCACCCATGTTCACTGTGGCCTTATTTGCAAGCACCAAAAGGCAGAAGCAACCCAAAGGTCAATTGACAGAGAAATGGATAACACGTTTAGAAAATGTGATACATAGGTACAAAAGAATATTATTATTCCATTTTTACAAATTAGGGAATTCTGATACATGCCACAATATCGATGAATCTTGAAGACATTATGCTAATTGAAATAAGCAGTCATAAAAAGACAAATACTGGATGATTCCATTTATTATGAGGTACCTGGGGAAGTCAAATTCATAGAAACGGAAAGAAGAATGGCAGTTGCCAGGGACTGGGAGTAGGGAGAAATGGACAGTTGTTGTTCAGTGGGTATAAAGTTTCAGTTTTGCAAGATGAAAAAGTTCCAGAGATCAGTTGCACGATAATGTGAAAATAGTTAACATTACTGAACTATATACTTAAAACCATTAAGATGATAAATTTTATATATATGTACTTTACAACAATTAAACAAAAGCCAAAAAATATTGTACTTACCTCATTGTGTTGAAGTTTAAATTTAAAAAAAAATTTCCTTATGTCTTCAGTGATTGACAGAAGCAGGCTCTCTTGTCACTATTAAGAGAAATCAAAGAATTTTCTGTGATGTTTCTGTCAGTCAGCAGGAAATTTTTATAAAAAAAAAGTGCTTTCAATGTCATTGTCCAGAAGCCTTGAGTTATTTTAGAAATTAAAGTTTGTTATTTTGTCTTCTAAAAATTAGATTTAGACAATCAGGTAGATGATGGCTTCCAGTAAGGTTGGTGCTATATTTTGGTATTCATCTTTCTATTGAGGGTTGTATTAGTCTGTTTTCACACTGCTGTAAGAAATACCTGAGACTGGGTAATTTATAAAGGAAAGAGATTTAATTGACTCATCATTCCACATGACTAGGGAGACCTCTTACAATTGTGGTGGGAGGCGAACCAGGCACCTTTTTTACAAGGCAGCAGGAAGGAGTCAGTAAGCACAGGAAAAATACTGCCACTTTTATAACCATCAGATCTTGTGAGAACTCACTCACCATCATGAGAACAGCATGGGAGAAACTTCCCCCATGATCTAATCACCTCCCACTGGGTCCCTCCCACAACATGCGGGGATTATCGGGATTATAATTCAAAATGAGATTTGGGTGGAGATACAGCCAAACCATATTATTCCACCCTAGCCCCTCCCAAATTTCATTTCAAAACACAATCATGCCTTCCCAATTGTCCTCCAAAGTCTTAACTCATTCCAACATTAACCCAAAAGTACAAGTTCAAAGTCTTATCTGAGACAAGGCAAGTCCCTTCTGCTTAGGAGGCTGTAAAATCAAAAGCTAGTTCCTTCAAAGATACAATGGGGGTACAGGCACTGGAAAAATGCTCCCATTCCAAATGGGAGAAACTGGCCAAAACAAAGGGGCTACAGGCCCATGCAAGTCCGAATTCCAGCAGGGGAGTCATTAAATCTTAAGGTCCGTAAATAATCTTTGATTTTGTGTCTCACACCTATATCATGCAGATGCGAGAGGTGGGCCCTTAGGGCCTTGGGAAGCTCTACCCCTGTGGCTTTTCAGGGTACAGCCCCACTTCTGGTTGCTTTCACGGGATGGCATTCGAGTGTCTGTGGCTTTTCCAAGCACATGGTACAAGCTGTCTGTTGTTTTACCATAGCTCACAGCTCCACTAAGCAGTGCCCCAGCGGGAACTTTTGTGGCGGCTCCAACCCCACATTTCCCTTCCACGCTGCCCTAGCAGAGATTCTCCATGAGGGCTCCACCCCTGTAGCAATTTTCTGCCTGGACATCCAGGCATTTTCATACATCCTCTGAAATGTAAGCAGAGGCTCCCAAACCTTAATTCTTGACTTCTGTGCATCCATAGGCTCAATACAATGTACAAGCTGCCAAGGCTTGGGGCTTGCACCCTCTGAAGCAGTGTTCTGAGCTTTTGTTCCCTTTTAGCCGTGACTGAGACACAGGGCACCAAGTCCCAAGGCTGCACAGAGCAGGAGTGGGACCCTGGACCCAAACCATGAAACCGTTTTTCCTTCCCACACCTCTGCGCCTGTGATGGGAGAGGCTGCCGTGAAGGTCTCTGACCTGCCCTGGAGAAATTTTCCCATTGTCTTGGTGATTAACATTAGGCTCCTTGTTACTTAACCAAATTTTTGCAGCTGGCTTGAATTCCACCCCAGAAATGGGTTTTTCTTTTCTACCATTATAGCCAGGCTGCAAATTTTCCAAACTTTTATGCTCTGCTTCCCTTTCAAACATAAGTTCCAAATTCAGATAATCTCTCTCAAGTTTAAAGACACACAGATCTCTGGGGCAGGGGCAAAATGCCACCACCCTCTTTGCTAAAGCATAGCAAGAGTGACCTTTACTCCAGTTCCCAATAAGTTCATCATCTCCTTCTGAGACCACATCACCCTGGACTTCATTGTCCACATCACTATCAGCATTTTGGTCAAAACCATTTGACAAGTCTCTAGAAAGTTCCAAACTTCCTCACATCTTCCTGTCTTTTGAGCCCTCCAAACTTCTCTAACCTCTGCCTGCTACCCAATTCAAAAGTCTCTTCCACATTTGGGGGTATTTTTGTAGCAATGCCCCACTCTCTGAAGTACCAGTTTACTCTACCAAGTAAAAAACTATGACCTGCTGAGGTTCTTGCTGAAAGCAAAGGTAATAAAGAATGGGTAGTAGAAGAAGGCAGTGATCAGTATCTGCTATGAGCACGTGATCAGTTGCAGAAAAAGGACTCTAATTGTCATGAGTTTTCCTCCTTATTTTATTAAGAATATGTTTATGCGTGTGTACACTTGTACTAGGAAAATATCTTAATTTTATTTCCCCTCTTTTTCCTGTATCATGTGACATTTATTGACATCATACCAACATTTAAGTGTTGTTAGCTTTATGTAATAGCATTTAAGTTAAGGATTAGTGTGCTTCTGGTTGTATAAAGGATAGCTGCATTGTTAGGCATAATTATGACTGTATTATTGCTTTTATGTAACCATGCAATGGGTTCACCTTGCCTGCTGCCTAGACAGAACGGATTTATCAAGACAGGAGAATTGCAATAGAGAAAGAGTAATCTACACAGAGCTGGCTGTGCAGAAGAACAGAGTTTTTATTGCTACTCAAATCAATCTCCTGTAAAACTCAGGGATCAGAGTTTTTAAGCATAATCTGGTGGGTGGTGGGCCAGTGAATTGGGGGTACTGATTTAGCTTGTGGATGAAATCTTAGGGAGTCGAAGCCATCCTTTTATGCTTGCTGCAGGGTTGGGGCTACAGAACTGGTTGGCAGGTCCAGGTGGGGCCGTTCAGATATGAGAAATGAAAAACCTGAAAAGGTATCTCAAAAGGGCAATCTTAGGTTCACAATAGTGATGTTATGTTCAAGAGTAATTAGAGAAGTTGCAAATTTTATGACCTCTGGAATAATTGCTAGTAATATTTAGAATTCCAACCCCTCTTATCCTAACTTGGTGGCTGCTGGCCTTTCAATCATTTTACAAGAACAGTTTAGCTTTTGGGAAGGACTATTATTTAAACTATAAACTAAATTCCTTCCAAAGGAATGAACAAGGACAGTTTAGAGGTATAGAAGAAAGATGGAGTTGGTTAGGTCTGATATCTTTCACTCTCATAATTTCCTCAGTTATATTTTTTGCAAAGGCAGTTTCATTTACTTGGAGATTAGGTATGATTTCAAGAAATGTGTATGGGTTTAAGTTGACAAGGGGTAGACTTGTGATGGTTAATATTAAGTGTCCACTTGATTGAATTAAAAGATGCAAAGTATTGTTTCTAGGTATATCTAGGTGTTACTGAGTGTTGCCAGCAGAGATTAACATTTGAGTCAGTGGGCTATGAGAGGAAGACCCAGTGGCCACCATCCAATCGGCTGCCAGCACGAAAAGGAAAAGCAGGCAGAAGAAGGTGGGAGAAGCTGACTTGCTGAGTCCTCTGGCTTCATCTTCCTCTGTGCTGGATGCTTCTTGCCCTTCAACATCAGACTCCAAGTTATTTGACTGTTGGATTCTTGGACTTACGCCAGTGGATTTTCAGGTGCTTTCAGGCCTTTGGCCACAGACTGAAGGCTCCACTGTCGGTTTCTCTACCTTTGAGGTTTTGGGACTCCAACGGAGACACTACTGGCTTACTCCTCAACTTGCAGATGGTCTGTTGTGGAACTTGAAGTTGTGATTCTTTGAGTCAGTTCTCCTTAATAAACTCCCTTTCATGCATATATCTATGCTATCAGTTCTGTCCCTCTAGAGAATCCTAATTCAAGGGTCCAGAAGCAAAATAAATGCACATGATCCCAACTACCTAATGTTACACCACATGTGAAACCAGAGGATATATGGCATAAGCAAAACATCTGAACATGTTAGCAACTTGTATTTGTATCCAATTTCTAGATTCATAAGAATTTGTAGTCTTATGTACCTTTACAACTCCTTTTTTCACCAACAGTTCCCAGGGCACTCAATTTGAAGTATCTAAAAGGGGCAAACAGGGTTGCAGATAAATGCCAAAGCTGATTACTGAGGAATGACAGATAGCACTTTTCCTATTCCTTGCTGACCATTGCCCAAAAGGAGCTGGAACCATGACTGAGATGAGCTTCTGCCCCTTAATTCTCCCTGCTTTCATTTCTCAGAACCCTCAATCACATGTCTGAGCAGCTGGGGCTTTTCCACCCATAGAGTCTGCATAGCTAACCTAATGTAATTAGTTGGTAGGAGAGGATATAAAAACATATTTAAAAGTTCAGGGTAGAAATCCATTTTTTAGTTTTAAAATGTTCATTAGTATATCTATTTTATGATCCTACAAATGTATTCAATCTTGTAACATACAAAGGAATTAAGAATTCTGATTGGCAACTTGCAAGATACTGACCATTTGAACAGAGTTGAAGAATCATTTTTGATTTTCCAACACAACATATTGAAAGGGCAAAAGGAAAGGCTTAATAAATATAGGAAGACTTATTGACTGATAGCTGTCCCTCCACACTGCTCCAAGGGCATCCCTTGAGTAAATTTTAAACATCACACAGGTTTAAAATAATGGGCTGATTTTCCTGTCACAACACCCCTCTCTTCACAGCTTCTCACCTCCATAAAATTCCTCCAGGGAAAGAACTTTGACTTATCTGGCTTTGTATCCCCAGTGCCCAGCATGTAGCCTGGTACATAGTAGACATTCATTAAATGACTGTTGAATGAATGAAACAAGCTTTGATTTGACAACAAAGATAAGTTAACATATATGGGACAAACAGTATTTCACAATGACAAAAGAAGTGAGGCACAGCCTAACGTTTTTCACTCATAGAACTTTTCCTGATTTAAATAGTGTCCACCTACACTTTTACATTGCAAATAAACTGTCTTTAGTTTTAAATTTGGTCATTATGCTCTTCAAGACTGAAAGATGTGAAGACATCACTTCTATCATATATCTTTGGGGGTGGGAAGTGGGGGAATTTGGGAGTCTCTGGAAACTGCTGTAACTGAAATTAAACTTCAATTTCTTGTACCTGTTTCAAAACTATTTGAAAAAGGGCAATTTAGGTTTCTCCATAAACCAGTTAAGCAATTTCTGATTTGTAGCAATACGATATAAAATATAGGATTTATTTTTAAAGGCAGAATACAAAAACCTAAGTTCAAAATGCAGCTGACCTTGATGAGTTAGGATTATGCTGGAAATCAGTTGCTGAAATTTATTTCTATGTACTTCTCCTTCTTTCCCTCAGGTTAAATCATATCGAATAAAGGCGTTTGGGAGAAAAATGCAATTACCATAGAATTATTTATCTTTAAACTATCTAGTTTGCACCCAATTATTTTTTCCTCAGCATTGCAGCAGAGTTAAGATTCTAGGTCTACTGCTAACACAAAAACTTCCTTCCAAAAAAAGAGTAAATGCTACTAATTTTAAATATTTCTACATTTAAATTAAAATAATGAAATATACGCTAACAAAGGCAAAGACAAAATACTCTTCTCAGAACTTACTTCTGAAACCTAGCTGTTTTTACACAGCAGTTTTAATTAACATGAACATTTTTCAAAATTGTAGAATAAGTATTTTCAAAAATAAAACCACTTAATTACTACCCCACACAGGCACACAAAGTTCCAAGAACGAGAGCAAACCATGTATATATCCTCATTGAAAAAAAAAAAAAATATATATATATATATATATGTATATATAAACACTGGAGAATTTTGCTGTCTTCTTACCTCGAGTGCAGTAGGTTGCAATAGGGCCAGCCGATTTGTTTCCATGCAGCTTGGTTATCATAAAACGGAAGGGGCGTCTCGTTTGCTCATTTTTGTTTTTTTTCTAAATCAAGCAGCTTGCATCTACCCTTCCCTATTCGCTGGATTAACAACCTGGAAAAAGCGCCGCCTGCAAAGTGAGCGCCTGGAGCAGGGGACAGTCCCCGAGTGGCCGCCCCTCCCTTTCGGTGACGCTCCACTTCCTGTTAGCCTAAAAGGCATTCCCAAGAAGCTCTGTTTTGTAGTTTCCAGCCCAACTCCGAACGCCCATCTTTTCCCCCATTTCTTCTCCAAGGTAACAACTTTTAATCACTCACGTGACGGACCACCCGCCCTCAGCCAAACAACTTCCCGGAAAGGTGCCCGAAGGAGTGTTCCCATCGACCACGAGTGCCCGGGAAAGGCCAGTGGGGCTCCCCTCCCCGCGCTCTGCACGCCCTCACATCCCACAGAGGCGCCAGCTTCTGCCTTCACGTTCCTGAAACTGGCCCGGAGGTTCTGACAAGAATTAGAGCGGCGGCTGCTGCCCCGGGGGTGACCTGGAAGCAAAAGGGACCTGCACAAATTCTAGAGTTTCGGGGTTTCCGCGGGTTGAGATTGTAGGGGAAACAATGCATTAACCAAACCTAAAAATCACGCACGTCTTGTAGGACCGACCAGTAAAAAGCTTCTTTTATATAATACGTTTAACAGCCTTTATTTTAAAAGACGTTGATTGATGCCAGGCGTGGTGGCGAGCGCCCTGGGTCCCAGCTACTCCCAGGCTGAGGAGGGAGGATGACTTGCGCCCGGGAGTTCCAGGCTGCAGTGAGCCTTGGTCCTGTCATTGCGCTCCAGCCTGGGTGACAAAACGAGACCCTGTCTCTTTAAAAAATAAGGAAAGAAAGAAAAACGTTGATCGCCTCCTGCGTGGCAGTCCAGGAGGTCAAGCTCTGTTTTGGTGGTGGCGTGTAATGGATTCCTAAGATTTGGGCGCCCATAGAGTTAACGCAGCAAAACGATCACTTGTGTTTCCTGCAGACTGGCGGCAATAGAACACGTGGCTGTCTAGACTTTTAATCACTGATAATCTACCACACCAGGATTTAATGCCAATGGGGGGAAATGGCGAAAGGGCAGGCGCTGGAGCACATGCATCCGGGAACACTAGTGGTAGGCGGTCGGGTGGGCGTGAGCGGGCTCTCCATCTCCCGCCAGCGCAGTCTGCGGGTCGCCACCTCAGGATTTTCTTCCCGAGTCCGGGTGGCAGTACTCCACCCCAGGTCACCACCTCACACCCTCTGGTAATTGCCATCCAGCGTCCCTCAACAGCTCCAACACCGCTCCCACCCCGCCCCCGCCGCAAGCCCCGCCCTCCGGCCCAAACCCCGCCCTCCGCCGCGCAGGCCCCGCCCGCGACCGGCCTCCCTCCTTTCCAGTCCCAGGACGCGTTGCGCGGCCCGGGCCGGAAGTAAGCGAGTTCCCAGGAGTGTGTCTGGGTCTGTCTGTGTCTAGCAGCGGCGCGCGGGCCGGGACTAGCGCTGGGGATTCCCGTCTGAGGCGTCTCAACTATCACTGCCATCACCCCACAGAAGCTCTTCTAGAAGGGAGTAGACCCGGCCCTTCGCCGGGCAGAGAAGATGTTGCCCCTGTCCATCAAGGACGATGAATACAAACCACCCAAGTTCAATTTGTTCGGCAAGATCTCGGGCTGGTTTAGGTGCGGGGTGCTGTGTTTGCGGGGAGGGGGTGTCCGGCAGAAAGGGAGAAGGCCCAGACCTCAGGGTGGCCTGAGGTCCAGGGAGGGAGCATCAGAAACTCCCCTTCAAACCCCTGGATGTGAGCAAAGGAGCGTGTCAATTGGGAGGGTCTTGAAAAAGGTACCCAGTCTCGGGGTCCTGGCACCTCCTTAACTCTCCCGGCTCTTTTCCACGTGTACCATGCCCAGGTCTATCCTGTCCGACAAGACGTCCCGGAACCTGTTTTTCTTCCTGTGCCTGAACCTCTCTTTCGCTTTTGTGGAACTACTCTACGGCATCTGGAGTAACTGGTAACCAAAGGGGAAAATGGTTTGGGCGGAAGCAGGGTGTGTGTGGGGGGGACGAAGCACTGTTTGCTTAATGCCACGTCGCTCCTCACCAGGAGGTTCAGGTCATACCTTTGGCACCTACCTCTGCTGCTGAGTTCCTTTCTCATACCCGCACCGATCTGGTAGGGCTGCATTTCTTGAGGAAGATCTGAGGCCTATCCTGTGCAACCTCTCTTGTCACCCTTCCCTCCAGCTCCATCAGACAAGACTGACAAAGCCCCCTTATTATTTTAGCAGAGGAACAGAATCCTTCATTTCTAATTGCAGGCCTTAGCTTTACTCACTTTGTTGTAATTGGGAGAAACCTGTTTGCTGCCTCTCTCGGGGGAGTGGCATTTGGATTTCACTCTTAAGGTTCTGAGAGGGTATATGTGAGATGTTCTACTTAGTTTGCTATTTGGGCTTGGAATGGGGAAGAGGTTTTATAAAGGGATATCTGGAGAAATAAGTGTCATTGTCTTCTCTCTTTAATGCTGAAACTGACTCATGATTTTCCTGTAGTCTTAACTGCGATGGAAAAATCCCATATAGTTTTCTAAAACTTTAACATTTCTTGGCTTTTGGTGGCACCTTTGGAGGTTTTTGTTTTTGTTTTTGAAACATCTTTAGGAGTAGGAAAATCTAGGGTATAACTCTCTGGTAGTGAAGTTACTATTATTCAGGTATTTGCTGTTGAGTAACTTAAGGTCTTATGAAGTTGTTCTGCTAACAGTAAGACCATCACACTCCTAGGTGTACTAATTCTTTCTTTAGATCGCATACTCATTCAAAAATCTGATAAAAGCCAACACTCAGAACTGTACATAAATCTTCAGGATGTTGTTGGGTTCCCTGTACTAAATCTTGGACTCTAGATTAGGAACCTATTTTCTATTTATTAAATAGACTTAGTCTCTGTTCTTTAAGACCCATTTTCAGGGAATATTGCTGTCCTTGATCTTTACTTCTGTTGAGATCAAGCATTGACAGGTAATATCACCAGGTTTGTGACATGTATACTTTTTTGTAATACGTGGACTTCTTTCAATTCAACCATCAATTCAGTTTTACAAAAAATAATAAACAGCAGATTATGAAGGTTACTGGTTTAGTCAACACTTGGGTATAAAGGCATATTGACACAATGAAGTCTTAATATTTGTAATAACCATTTTGAATCCTTTGGGAATCAGATATGTTTATCTGAAGGATACCCCATCATAGATTAATTTTTTAATCCTGTAATATTAACACACTGTAATATGTTGTAGATGTTGGAAACACTTTTTCTTGCAATCACACTTTATCATAAATATATATTTACAATATATTTTACATTTTTCTTTTCCTAAATTATGCTATAATTTTGGCATATGTACTGATTGTATCAAGAGTGTATCATAGCTTATATATGCATATTTTGCTACAGATAGTTTATATTGCAATATTTCACTATGGCTTTCCTTTCTTTGCATGTCACCCTGTGAAATATCTGGTTCAAGAGATTCATACTTGAAGTTGCTAAACCACCTTTCATGGAAAGTTGCATCTGTAGTAACTTCTGATCTGTAGAGATCTATTGGAAAAATTACTAAAACATTGTTTTTTAAATTAATATGCAGCAGTACATAACAAAAACATCAGTTGTAGGTGACTTGTTCTTTTACCCTTAGGTGACATGTTCTTCTTTACCAGTCCAGCTTATGCTGTTTGTCATTGTGTTATGTCTTCTAGCTAGATTTGAAATCTAGCTGCAGTGTGTGTTGTACCTAGATCATTTAGCACGTGTCCGTCATCTCATGCCCATTTACTTTAATCTCCATATTTACAACAAATTATTCTTAAATATTAATTTTGAGTACAGAGCTCATTGATATTTGGGCAGATTTAGAAATTTCTCTGGACTTTTTATAATCTGAGTTTCTGTGTTTTATTTAGACACCCAAATTTTTAATTCCTTTTGTTGACTGACCAATAATTTCTTTATAAGACCAGATTATCTCTGTTCCTGTAGGTTTGATTAGCTTTAGGGTTCCTTGATTATATTTCTTTCAAAACTCATTTTGTGTATCATTGTCAATTCTGTGTTGAGTTTCAGTCTGTAAAAATAAAGTTCAACTTGTTGGGAACATGAAATATCAGGAATTTTTTCCCATAGAGGACTAAAACATGAATAAAACACTTCACAAATAAAGGTTCATAGAAACAGTGTACCTAATTTTAACAAATGTTATATTGTTCTAGTTCTTGTTCAGAGCCTTCATTTTAATGAAAGAACTTAATTATAGTTGATTTATATTTTTGATGATGAGTAGGTATCTTCAGTGGAAGAATTGGTGGTTATTGTATATTTCTCCCCCTCATTAAATATCTGCTACCTTTCACCTTTCCGATAGAATGTAAACTTTATTAATGTAGGGATCTTTTCTATCTTATGCAGTTACTTTAGTACATAGCACATAGTGGATGCTTAATACATATTTGCTAAATGAAAGAATGAGGGAATAATTAATGTATAGAATGACACTACCTATACTAAACATGGCAACTATCCCTGTTAAGGGAAAACAACAATGACAAAACATTAAATCCCTTTCTCTCACTCTTAGAATTTGTGAAGAAAATGGTAAAAATACTGTATGTGATTTTTCCCTTTCTTCTAGGATGCTTTCCTTCTAGTATTTTATTTTTCATTTACTAATTGATTATTGAGTAACTGACTAATTTCAAGGTAACATAGTGTAAGAAAGTAGTTTTGTACCATCTAGGGTTAAGTTTGTTTTCAAGTTACAGAAAAACTGCACACCTATAATCCCAGCTACGTGGGAGGCTGAGGCACAAACATTGCTTGAACCTGGGAGACAGGTTGCAGTGAGCTGAGATTGCACCACCACCCTCCAGCCTGGGCAACAGAGTAATACTCTATTTCAAAACAAAACAAAACAAAAACCTAAAATAACGGTTGCTTAAACAAGATAAAACTTCATTTCCAAGATGGCTGCTAGTGTTCTAGCCATCCCTGGCAGCATAATGTCTAGAATGCAGAGAAAAAGAGGCAAAAGGTGTGCATGTTATTTTTTTAAGATTTATCTGGATGCTAACACACAGTGCATTCACTAAAACTTTATCACATGGTCATGCCTACTTGCAAATGTAGTCTTTATGAGAGAGAGAAACTAACCTATGATCTTCTATTGGTGGAAAATTGAGGCCTAGAGTTTTTTACTTCCCAAGTGAGCAGCAGAGCCTACAGCACCTATTGTCCAAGTTGTCAATCCCATCATGCTGTTTTTTTCTAGTATCTCAATATAGTTTGTGTTTTTATGGTTTTCTTTCATTTTTACCTCATTATTAGCAGATTTAATTTCAGTAGTATTTCTTACCAAAGCTGTTAGAACCATTTTTCCCTTAGACATAGAGGACACTTAGGTAACTCTAAAGGTTAATGTCTTTGTGTTAACAAAGTAAATATTTGTTCGAGAAATGTTTAACACAATAGGAGACATTTATTTCATTTTCTTCAATATATTATTTCACAGCAGATGTTTGTAAAGTAACTCCTTAGTGAAGAAAAATACTAATATCAATCACATGCTTTTCTATTCAAATTTCATATATCTTAGTCTTTTAAAATCAACTTTTCCTCTCAAAAGGCAGCATTACTTACTAGCTTACGGTGATGCCTTTTGCTTTCCTATAGTTTTATTTTCCACCTTAAAAACATAGATAAGTATTCCATGCTGCTGAGAATTTTTTTAAAATAAGGGTCTGTATAATGGAATGTAGTGGAGTTGTGAGTTATTTTACTGTAACTCATTTAGTTTATTGACTTTGCCAATGTCAGGATTCTAAGAATTTTCTAATTTCCTGATAATAAATTGGTAGTTATTATTAATATTCCCCCCCCAATCTTTCCCCATCATGGAAACTAGCTGGTAAAGGATTTGTGAATTATGATGATTCCTTATTTTCAATTTTGAACACATGTTTAACAAACAATATACATATACTGTTAGCTTAGTTACCAATAGACCTTTAAAAAAAATTTTTTATCATGTGATATTTTAAACATATATAAAGGTAGAGAGTTTAATGGATCTCATGTACCCATCACCCAGCCTTAACATTTATCAGTACATGGTCTATCTTATTTCATCTGTTGTCCCTGTCCCACCACTGGATTGATTTAAAACAGACAGAAGATGTAATTTCTTCCATAACTATTTCATCATACGTCTCTGAAAGATAAAATCCACTCTCCTTTAACATAACCCAAAACCATTATCA